GGAGGAGGGATGCAGAAGTAATAGGGTAGGAGAGACAGGTGTTAACCTGATAAAGGAGATAATATCGGACCACGGAGAGATGGGGAAACAAGTGGCACAAGGCAACCTGCTGGGAGGGTTGATAAGTTGCTAAAGTTGTAGAATACAAAAACAGTGATCTGATATGTAAGCCCCTATCTAATTCACAATAAATAGTATATTTTTAAAGATAATCTGGTAGGAAAGAATTTTAAACATTTTGAAAATTACTAAAAAATGCATGAAATTAGTTATTGCAATTAATAATATAGAAACATCAGTCCATATACTAGTATTCTTATCAATTACTTTACAAAATAAGGAAATGAAGAAATCCAGAATATTTACCAGACTTATCACCGTTGTGATCATAAAATGGTGCTGCTGTATCCGACATCCCATTTCTCTTTGTCCATCCAAGTTGCAGACTCGGATCCTGTGTCAGCGTACAGAGCCCATCCTCAAAATCACATCTGTCATAATTCAAGCCTAGAAAGAGAAAAAAAGAGATTAGCTTCACAGTCCCATGTAGCTTCTGAAGATGGAAGGCAAAAGAAATAAAGGCCTTAATATGACGAATAAATATGAACATAAGCATTATTTTTCACATTTTAAGTCTATTCCATTAACGCACACATTTTTGCAAATGACATTCTGATAAGAAACCACAAGCCGACAACGGTATGTTCTTATGGAATGAGAGACACACAGAGTCAGGAAAACAAGGACTTGATCTTCGCTTGGCCTCTTATGAGCTGAATGTCTTAGACGCTCATCCGTATCAGATACTTTTTTTGTTAACCAGCATGATTAGAATAATAATATGCTTTGCTCCAACTGTTGCTATGAGGATCTAATGGCATAGTGTATGTTACATACTCTGAGCACTCCACAAAATATGAGAAATAACTATTAAGGTTATATATTTTACCAAACTTGGACATACTTGCTACCTAGGCATATTGAAATTTCAGGATTAGAGCAAACCAGGTCACAAAGGCCCCTCTAGTTGATGCTCAACCATCTGTGGTGATCACGTACCCCAGAATTAAGCACAGTACCTAAATTTAAATCTCAGTGTTTTAAGTATTTGGCATTTTAATTGCAACAAACGTGGTCTCACCAACTCCTTTCTGCTTTTCTGGGTCGGAGTGACCCATGCGGCTGGAGAGAAGCACAGGCATTGGGGCGTGGGTGGTTTACAATAAGCAGCCCAGCTAGGCTTGCAATAGTTAAGGCTGTACATCAGCTTGGCTGAGCCAGGATTCTCGGTGGCTTGTTAGCTAAGATGCCGTCACCCCCCATGATGAGATCTAATGAAATCACATTCATGATAAAATCTGCTATGCGTCGCAAATCAATTGAAAGAAGGTTGGCTTGAGGTTGTGACCTTCTAATAGGTGTGGATGCTCTCTCATCATCCTTTTCTGTGAGGTTGGATCCTGCGTCTGGCTCATCATCAGACCTATATGGGAGTGTGTGTGTGTGTGTGTGTGTGTGTGTGTGTGTGTG